ACGTATAAGCAGCACTATGATAAGCATCGCAAAAACTAAAGAACATTGAGGTTGAAGAGTTAGTAGCCATAAAAGGAACACAACTTGTCACCGGGTGAAAAAGTATTTAGGTCCATATCGAATTATCAAAATAAAACGTAACGTATGATATTAAAAAAATTGAAGATTCTAAAGGCCCACACAATACAGAGATCTGCGTTGGTTATATAAAGCCGTGGAAATGTTTTGAAGATGAGGAACAGGAGTATTGCCATCTGAAACATATAACGGGCAGAATGGCCGAATGTAAAGGGTAGATGCCGACAACAGGAGCGAGTAGTGAAAGCTGGTAGAGTAAACGAAGTGTACAACGGACGAAGTGATGGGGCAGAGAAACTGAGCGAAACAAATAGTAGGAAGTCGGTGGGTAAAGTTTTAAAGTCGCACAGTCATTAAGCAGGATCAAGTTGTAAAATAACACAGTTGCCAAACTTTTTTGCTTACTTTTATCCTTTCCATTATTATTATTTCTTTATGTTTAGTTGCTCGTGGATTTGAATTATCTTTTAACTATATTGCTTTTTATAATATTATTATTATATTATATTATTATAAATAAAATGGTCCTCCTTGTAAGGGAACGAGTCTTTCCGTCAAAGTTTGGTTTTGTGTGTTTATAAATTTCGTTTGCACTCTGACTAGTGGCGTATAGAGTCAAACCTGTTTTTGTGCGGTGAATAGGGACCGCAGAAAAAAACCGCACAAAAAAAAATATTCAAAAACTTCATAAATAGCTATAAGAAATAATTTTTCACAACATATTAAAGAAAATTTTTTTTATGCGGTAGAGAGGGACCGCATAAAAAAAGTCTCACTTAGAAAATATGTCAAAGCTTTACGAAATAGCAAGAAAGTGCTTTCCAAACAAAATAAATAATTAAATTACACATTGAAACATTTAAAAAAATTTTAATTTCTAATTTTAAACAAGGAGAAATTTTCAAAATGTACATAATTCAATACTACTCGTCGTAGTTCAAAACGCGCATATTTTTGCGATGAACTGGTTCGTAATCGCTTTCATCACTTGAAGATACTACAGTTGATTTATTTTTTGTTAACATGTAGTCTAAAATAAAATAAAAATAAAATAAAAATCATAAAAAACTATATCTAAATAGGGAAAACAATTAATTTACCTTTAACCTCACTATAAAATTAATCCTGTCTTAATGATTAAAAGGTCAGCAATTAACTAAAGTTATTAGATGGCGCTGTATGTATTGAAATTGGCTGATGCAATATATGCATAAGAACATTCAGCATGCCTAATGAAATAGGCTGATGCAATAGGTATGAAAATGGCTGTTGCAATGTGTACATACACGCTGATAGCAAAAAAAGTGATGCCAATACAGTTCAGATTGACCTAACCTCTCGGCGAAATTCAATGTGTCGATATTCATATACCGCACAAAAAAAAGAATCGCACAAAAAGAATCGCACAAAAAAAAGAATCGCACAAAAAGAATCGCATAAAAAAAGACCGCACAAAAACAGGTTGGACTGTACTTAAACATGGGGAATAAATTGCGCTTTTAAAAATTTTTTCTTAATTAAGCTTATCATGCAATTTAGCGGAAATTGGGCACAAATTAGAGAGCGATTTGAATATTCTCACTACCGCATGGACTACCAACGACATACTCAATATTTTTCGTAATGCCATCTAGAGCTTTGGTTTGTACCAAAAGGTTGGGATATTGTTTTGTTAGGGTCAGCGGAAGCTAGAGCAATATACTTTTTAATCATTGAAGTGCAGCATCGGAAAATCTGAATTTTTAATTTTTTTTTGTTTTGTGGTTATTTATCATGTCCTGTAAATAGATGAAATCTACTGGGGGTTTTATCTGGCGACCGTAATGGAAGTTTCGTATAGCCCGTATAGTATATATTATTGTAGAAAAAACACCCTCACTCAAAAAAGAATTGTGGTCTGCCGATCAAAATTTAAATTATAAAAGTTAATTCTTAATTCGTTTGTTTGCTTGTTTCTTTAAATGTTAAATCAAGAGCAAAGACGTACTGTATCTGCGATAAATTCCTGAATAAAAAGCCACGAATAATTAAACTGCTTCCAACACAAACCAGATGTCAAATAAATAGAAGTAACCAAGAATGACAGACAAAACGCGAGAAACAAGTAACAAAAATAAAAGGTATACATGAAAGCACATTTCGGTGTTTAAGATGAAGTTAGCATTTGACTTTTAAAAATTCGAAACTATTTTTGGAAATCAAAGAAATTTTTAAAGTGACTGTAAAATTAAAAACTGTGTAAGAACAAATGAGAAAACGATGTAGATTGGTTTAAAACGGTGGAAATTAATTTCGAAAATAATGGATAATCGGGCTTGTCTGGGTTGTAAAACAATAGAAGAGAGATGTATTTAATGAGCTATGAACTAGAAATATAGAAAGAAATAGAAAAATTCAAAAAAGAAAAAAAAAACAGAATGCATGAAAATACAGTCCTTCACTTTTTTTTTCTAATGATACTCTGCAGTAGTCTATGAAAATACGAAAGGACTTTGAGAAAGGAAAGAAATTTAGGATTACGCATTGCTAAAGATAGAGGCAATAGTGAACACTAATTGAAGTGCTGTAATAAGAAGGCCAACTTGAAGGCAATTGCACGGATTATATACGAATACCAAACGTGAACATTAGCAAAAAAAGAAATTTTTTCAAATGTGTGTAGAATTTTATGAATATTGCAACCGCCCTGATGTACAGAAAGCTAAGAATGAAATGAAATTGATACTGACTTTTGAGAGCGCGTCCCACTTCACTCCGCGTATATTGTCGTATTTTAAGAGTGAGCAATTACAAAGCTTTTTGAATGATCTTTTGACGAGAGTATAGATAGGTCGACCGATTCATAATATGCGTCTCCGGCGACAGGTTGTTTATGCGCTGATTACATAAATTTGAATTAGATTCATTGCTTCTCATAGACGGTCTTCTTCACGCATTGGTTAACAAATCCGTATTCTCTTTGCAGAACTGAAAGAGTAATTTTTATTATGGTGACGCATAGATCTTGCAATTGGCATTAAAAATACTTTTTCTACTTTTCAGCGTTTCGTATGTCAGGAAAGGAAACTGTTTACGTGTATAATTTGATGATAGCAAAGAGGATGCTGGGAAATTTGGAAGAATGCTGCATTTTTGATTTGATAATATATCGATAATACAATGGGATATAAGCTTGCTTACGATGGTATTCGTCCAGATAAGAGTGACATTAGTTCGGTTGTAAATTTCACAACAACACGAATACAAATATACACAAAGTACAGATGTTCAAAGGGCGCGCCTGATTTTTTGTTCTTCCAATATAAAGGTTTTAGTCGCAAAGCCGTGCCCTTGGTAAAGTTTAAGTCGTTTCCAACTTATTTTGCAAACTTGTAGGCTATATCTGGACAAAGAGACAGGCAGACATGTTTAGGTACATTCCAAATTTGAAACTGATAAAGAATTTATATGCTTTATGGTTTTTTGAAGCTTGTTTGTGCGCTATATGAAAGCCTTGAAAAAAGTATTAATTGTGATACATATCTTCGTATCTTTCCTTACATGAAAAAACCAACATTAATGAAGCTATGTTTTTTGAGTTGTTGAAGTTATTTAATTTTCTTGTGTGCTGGAACAATGAGTTGTATGTCTTTCTTTATATTTTAATATAATTAATCAATTAATATATTCCCTAGCAGTACAAAAGGTTAAAATACATTTGTATGTTTAGACAATGGACTAGGTTTAACAAGCGTTTACTTTTTGTTGGGCGAAAAAACCAAATATTAATTGGTTTCACTGTATGTAAAAATAAGTATACACATTGTAAAGTTTTACATTCAGTGGGCTAAAATTATGTAAATGTCTAAGATTGGTCCATTTGCTCATTATTGTAATAGACTGCAAATATATGTACATATGAAAAAAAAAGCCATTGTGGCATTTTTTTAATATTTTAATAAATTTAATTTAGTTTATTTCCTACTTAATAATTTTAGCTCTTAACCTAGTACAACGTAAGTAATACGGCTCATGGCATGTGTGAATTAAAAACCATATAAAAAAATGAAAATTCATGATATTGATAACAGTGCCATCACATTCATTATGAGGCTACCATGTCACAATATATTACGAAAGAAATTGAAATTTATTTAAATTAACTAACCCACAATTTAGAAATTGCTACCTAAAGAAATATTGAATAACTTTCGTCTGGTGTTGCCAAAAAGAAGCGCTTATCTAAGCTAAATATCATATTATACGTACTCTTAAGGGGAAAGGGAGTGTTCATTCTGTCAAAACAATTTCAATATCCAAAAGGAAGTTTCGCAGATGCGCAATAATGTATACATATTCTTGATCAACATCAAAATTTGAATCGATTTAGTCATGTCCTCTGTCTACCCACCCGAAGATGTAATATACGGAATAAGCATCCTCCTGATCGCAAATATTGGGCTATTGGTTTCAAATTTGGCAGAAATCTTGGAAATTCTTTTACTCGCGATGGTGTTAAAAATAGTCCAGAACAGTCGAAGAACATCACCAGAGCAAAACATTAGTTGACAACTTCTCTGTTTTGAGAAGCAAAATAATTGAGCTTATTACTCACTACTCATGAACTTCTACAGATAAAACCGTAAAAAAACAAATAAAGTATAAAGAAAGAATAGATAGTTTAAAAATAAAATAAATTAAGTAAAAGTGTACTTGGGCTTAAAAAAAATCATAATTAAAATTAAAATTCATATGAATTAAGTTAAATATCCTTATTCGTGATACATAAAAGCTGGAAGTGGCTGTAAGAAGATAAGCGAAACACTTCTGGATTGCTAATGTAACATTTTATAAAAATTTTATATGCTTATTAGGACTCTTCTAAAAACTATGTTTAAAATATTTGATTTAATTAATTATAAACAATCAATTTTCCACTCCAGGTCGATTTTGGTACAAAACAATCTTTTTGGAAGGCCCTGAAGCCTCCTGCAAAAGATAAATGCGGAGAATTGCTTTCCTCTCTCTGCTATCATCCATCTAATTCAATACTCACTTTAACTTTGATCAAGGCTCGTAATCTGAAAGCGAAAGACATCAACGGAAAATCAGGTGAAGCATGGCTATTATTTATATTATAAGTATTTTTACAATTTTTGCTTTATTTGGGATCAAATATGTAACATATAGGCACATCCTTCATAGATGGTCCGTAACGTTTACAGAAAGCGTGTTACTTTATAAAGATAATTCGTTATGAGCTTTTATGGACCTTAAAGGCATGCATTAATATTGCATGTTACAAATTTAGGGTATAATTTTTAAGTGATCAGATAGTTATTTACCAACTAAAAAACGAGTTGCATTTGTTTGATAACGATACTTATAATTTTGGAGAAGTGGGAAGAAAAAATCTGTAGTAACTTTAGTGGACAATTTACAAAAACCACCCTTCGAATGAGGTCTTGCAACGTAGAATGTTCGCGATCTAACTTTGTACCTCCTGTCTACTTTTATGTAATACAAACTTTTGTGTGACACTTAACTGAAATTTGTCTGGCTTTTATGTAACAAAAAAATAATGAAGTCAAAGAGGTCAAATGGTCAGAGTCGGTGGCATTGGAAAGCTAGCTAGTTCGGTGGTAAAGGGGTTTCAATCTTTATTACACAGTCTTTCCCATGGCGATTACACTAAAGAAAAAAACCTGTCAAAACCCTTATGAAGACAAACCGACGGCCAAAATTATTTACCGGACGGGCTGATTTTACGCCCTGGGCCGCTCTATATCCTGCTCTGCCTATCGTCCCTTTTGGGTTTTAATTGTGTATGTATGATTTTGTATGAATGATCTGTTAAATGATATTAATAAAAATGTAGATATATGCGTCTAATGTAATAACACATACATAAGAAATATATATACATATAATACATAAGAGTAATACAAATAAATGTAACATAAAACAAATATGGTGTATATCTAAAAAAGTAAATTGTTTATTGTGGCTGGCGGCTACATACATATGAAGAAACCACTGGTGCTGGTGATGACGTTGGTATTGATATCCGAGGTGCTGCGAAGACGGGAGTTTAACACTGTTTTTGTGTACGTTAACAGCTTCGTAATATCATAAGTCTAGAGCAAACAGTTCCTAACGAAATCATCATCGAAAGTTGAAATTGTGTTTTTAAACACAATCGGTAATGCTATTATTGTTTTCGTTGTTGTTTTTATAACTACCAACACAAAAGTTAATTTTGATGTAAATTTTTTTGGCAATTTTGCAAGTAGACCAATGTTAACATTTTTTTGTCGAATTAAATAGTACAAAGCGCCACAGAGCCAAGTAAGATGGAAAATAATTTGAAAATAAATTTCAATGCATTCATGTGTTTAAGAAATAAAACTTTAAGGCATTTATTAGGTGCACACACATTATCTCCGTGTACCATGTGTAAACTCATTGTCTCTGTGTTCATAAGAGCACGACTCAAAAAGCAAAGTATGCCGCCATTGCTAATTAGATTTAAAACTCATTTGTGTGCATAGGCGCTACTGTATAACAAGTATATCGCATTCTATTTCTCTATTAGCTGAAACACGAATTGTTATTATTAATACAATTTTATCATTTATTGACGGTTTATTTGAAATTTCTTGAAATTTTTCCTTTGTTTTTACTATTTACAGAAAATTTTCAGCAATATAACATCCATCTTTTTGTTTGCTTCCGTTCGATTTTAAGTAGAAAATTTTTTTGTGATGGTTCTAAAATTAATTTTTTTGATCAAAAATTTTTTTTCTATATTTCTCGTACTAACTCTTTAGAGACAATCAAAGTGATAAACGGTTCTTTTTCAATGAAAACAAAATTGTGTCAATTTTTCACTATAGAATAAGTAATTTTTTGATTTTGGTTTTATTAATAACTTTTTTTTATTTAACTTATTTTCTTCAATGAAATATTTATTAATTTCTCGCCACAAAATTCTACCCGACCTCTACCACTTACAATTGTCAATTGGTGATAATTATCGACGATCCATTCAATTATTTTACAGCGCACTCTTTGGTGTGCAAGGTATGTCGTGCGCATGTATCTGACACCAATAAGGATTTCAAGCAGGACCACATTTTATTATACCGGTCTGAGCTTGTCTGGATTTCCTCCGGACGTCTGTCCATGATTTCATGTGTTCAAACTATAAGTCTGGCCGGTCTTGGCGGCTCTAATGTTTTTACTTGGTTTCATATAAAGAATTTTTCAAAATAAGGCGTTACATGGGAAGTGGCCGCGAAAATAGTTCATTTTCAACATGTTTCATCGTTGAGTCAAATCACCAATCTACCGAATTTCGTCAAAATAAGTTTTAAGAATTGCGGCCTGTAACTTGGATACAAGAACACATGGACTGACATCAAATGGGCAGGCAGTTGAACAGACAAACAAGCTTAGCTAGATTCAGAATTATTCCGACTCAGAATTAAAACACATGGATCGACATCGGACGGGCATGCTGACGACCAAACGAACAAGCTCTGAGTCAGAATAAGTCTAATTTAAAATAATTCCGAATCGATCGGTATAATAAAGTGGATCTATTTTAAGTTCCTCTGGGCGTTACATTTGCCTGCATCACATATGATTTAGGATATCAAATTTTATTTTTTCTGTCCACAAAAATTGTGATAGTATTTTGACATTCTCAATTGTTGTAAAAAATTTGGATGAGATGGGGTAATTTTTGCACGTCTTCCCATGTAGAGAATTTAGATCCCGCCAGCTTTGGGTTTTGTGAACAATTCACTTTTAGATGAAAACAAGGTATTTGATGCATTATCATGAAATTGCTAAATAATTGTATTAGGTGATGCATTGTAGGATAATAAATGATCGACCCATAAACCACACTTTTCTGCAGTTGATTTTTGTGAAGTCTCTGACAATTTTTCCGTTAGATCTCAAATGAACTATATTGGTGCTGCCGGCGACGATAATATCCTCAAATCGCCCCTGGAAGATCAATTTCGGAGACAATAAGGCCATAAAAGGTATCATGAAAAGTGACAAAAAATGATAAACCCATATAGATGATTCGTTACTAAACTGCGTGAAGTATTCTATACGACCATTTGAGGACAACTAGCTTACCTCTAAATCGATTGCGACATGCGTAGCAGCCATACTATACGCTGTAGCCCGGCGAATTTCTATTGACCGTTCCGTAGGAATTTGTAAAAATAACGATACTCCAGGGTAACCACCTACTGACAGCTTTGACACCTTTGACACACGGCTACCTTTGAACTCGGATCCAATTTCCTCCTTGTTCTCAAGTCTTTTTAGATTGCGTATAATCGTATTCTTTTAGACATCTGTTCATATATTCGAGTCTTTAAATTTGGTCATTTCTTTTATGTACATGGTTCCTCTGCGTGTCAAGTTCACTATTGCCAGCATCGCAGATAGGTATAAGTTCTACGGCGATGTTTTCTGAATTGATTATATTTCGGTCTAATAATTGCGCAAAAGCGAACATCTTCGAGATGAATCATCTCTGACCGTTGGGGTATATTTGTCGGTTGAAATTGGCAATCGGATTAGAGCACGCAACTCCAGTAACTGCAGGAAGTGATATATATTGTATAAATTGCTACTGCTTGTGGACAGCGTTTAGTTACTTGGTGACTCATTTCGTTCCCACATCGAATTTATCCCTTTCTGAAAGTTGTGGATCAGAAGAAAGAAAACTAAAAAAGGCCGTTTACGTTTTTCTTAAGCGAGCTTTTTTTTGTTTCAATAATGCACTAACGGGCAGTCTTAATATATAATCATTATACAACAGTGGATGCTTATTGGCAGCTTTGTTCAGGTCTTCTATGCGTACCTTGTCAATCATCGGTCTCTATCAGGATCTCACGGAGCAACAACGCTTCTCGACTTTAAAATACGTGCTACCAAGCGCCCAACGAGTTTTACTTTAGAGTACACGTAATATTACGAAAGGATTCATATAGTTGGAGCGATTGTCCTGTGTGCTCATCATTTTTTCACATTTCATGTTTCTTCTTTTTTACTTGTTTTTAATTTTAGTTTTATTTAATTTAACCTGACTTTGCTTTTATTTCTACTTTGACTTTGATTCTTCTTGGCAATAAGCAGTAAGTTTCTGATGATTCAGAATAATCTAATATGTACTTGCAATCTTCGAAAGGTTGTTGTCTTATCAGACCATAATTCTTTCGTAGTGTGATCGCCGATCAATTTAACAACAGTTCGATTTTCAGTAATTCAAAAATATTTGCCCAACTCTTGGAATAGCTTACCATATTTGCTAAAATTCCTTTAACTGTTGTTTGGACTCCGTTTCACTGTAATATGTGCATGACCATTAATTCTTTCTATAATGACAATTTTTTTTTTTTTTCGTATTTATTAGTAATGAGTAAACTTTTGACTAACTAATTCTGCTGGGATATCACAGATCCTCTCACCAATGCTTAGATCAATTGATAATGTATATTTTTGAAATATTCCGCCTGTTCTCACGTCTTGTGGCCAAATATATAAATGCTTTTCGAAAATAGTCATCAGTGAACGCTGCGAACTATACTTATACAAGAGAGTGCAAAAAGTTTTAGATCAAGAAATAAGCGGCTTAAACGGGAACCTGTTAACGTAACAGCTATAGTCAGAAAGAGCTAATAACAAAAGGCACCAACTTTGTTTGTAAAACTGAAGTCAATATGCATCGCGGAGACTTTTAATGTTTAATATGCCCCGTATATACGAAAATAAAAACGCAAAGATGATGTAGAAATTTTAATTTATAGAAAAACTATTCCGCAAAACAACAACCGAAAATTGGCTGATATGTGTAAAAAAGGCACAATGTGAACACGGAGTTCTTTGTTTGGGCCTTGGTAAAGGCTCAACAATAAGTTTTTATATATATTTAATTAAAGCCTTTTAAATTTTGCGTGTTATACGCCAGCCAAGTTTTTATTTTTAATTTTTATTAAAATATGCGTATTACTCGTCCGCCACGTAGGATAGAACAGAAGTGTCATATGAAAGAATTGATAAGTGCGAAAGTAAAAAAAGTGCAA